CATCTAATTTGCCTTTCTTTGCTCCTGATGCCTTTTTTCATGCCTTGAACCGAAATACAAGAAATATGAGTCCAATTAAGTACTAATTAAGTATGCAAGACAGAATATTTGGGGATAAAAATGTGATAAATTCTACTCTCATCACACTTTATTCATTTACAATAAATGTCATAAGTACATCAATCTGATTGGAGCTAAGGGCATACAACTGTCTAACAAGCAAATGATAAGCCAGCATTACGCTTGAAGATGTACTACTAATTTTTGAGGTTCTTTTAATAGGGGCAGAATTAAAAGGCTGATTCCGATCCCAGCTTCTAGTTGAACCAAACAACAGGAATCAAAATCCGATTCCGATTCCTGAAAACCAAACAGATGCCAGGAATAGATGATTCCGATTCCGATTTTGGTCATGTCCGCGAACCAAATGCACCCCCATTTTATTTAATCTTTTAATAATTTTTAAATTTTAAAATGTTAATATTTTATCAATAAAGTAATAGTTTTTAATGTTAATTCTAGCACAAGTCCGATGGTTCTCCTTCTCCACTATTTTTTCATTATTTAAATATTAAGTTTTTAATATTTTTATCAATAAAGTAATATTTAAAATAATATTTTTTTAATATTTAAAACAATATTTTTAATTATTTAAAAATAAAATTATTGCCTACATATTAATTTATTGATGCCTTTTTTTGAATTTATTTACCATATAAAATGAAAAAATTAGACATTTATGATAGATTGTGTAAATCCCCCATAAAATGTATATAAGATACATGGAATCAAAAAGTGTGCACACCTACAGAACACCACCATTGGTAGACTGGTCCGGTCCACACAATCTATCTATATTTTAGAACAATTGTGAACTATGGTGTGATGTGGATTGGTCCCTGCCACAAGGTGTAGTGTGGAGCAATTCACGCCCACTAGTTTCTCATTAACACTACAGAACACCCCCTAAGAGGATAAAGATATCAAAAAGAGGTTTTTATTGAGTTTCAAATAAGGTCATTTTTGTAAAATTGTATAAAATAATTTATAGAAGGGTATAACTGGTATTTGAAAAAAATACCGATGCGTCATCTAATGTTTTCTGTCTAGGTCACTAATAGAAGGGAGGTTTTTGTCATGTTTTTTATAAGTTCAAGGGAAATATTTGTTAAAATTGAAATAAAGGGGAAGTTTTTATATTTTACCCAAAGTAATTAAAGAGGGAATGAATATCCCTTACGTAGTTGCACGACTCACACCCAAAATATTAGTACTCGTATTCCCAATGTTTTATTTGAAATTGAGATGATTAAGTAGGTGTTTGGCATCTGTGTTGGGAACATTGCACCGTTTTCTCATAAAAACGGTATTGGGCATATAGAGTTGTAAACATTGTTTTCTCAGAAAACAGTGCTTATTTTTGTTTGGAATCGGTGTTGCCACAAGAAAACAACATTGGTTTTGTTTGGTATCAGTGCTGGCAATAACATTTTAAACATTGATCTATATTATCCAACATCCAAGATGATGCCAATTGATGCCACATCATTGCAACGCTGGCAGTCATGTGTCATTTTCTCAAAAAACATTGAATTTGGTGTTGCTCCAGACTACACTTACTCGATTTYCAAGGCGTGGTCTAAAGCAACACTTTTTCTGTAAAAACGATACCAAATAAGAAGGCGTTGTTTGAAGCACCGCTTTCTCTGATGCCAAACATCACCTAAAACGCTCTACACCCGGATGTTGCAAGTTTGCAACGCAACATGCTTTCCTGTTCGGCTCCCATTTAAAACACAGGAGTAAGGTTATTTCATTGGAAAACATAAAACACCTTTTCAATGAATGCACGAAATTCTGTTCGCCCTCATTTGCGGTCCTTTCTCTGTACTGTAGGTGAAGCGGCGAAGGGGCATCTCCCCAAGGTATTCCAAAATATATAATCTCCAGAGGAAACCTGTAACACCCAAATCATGGCAGGTAAAAATGGTGGAAACATCCTAGAACACACATCACATGCACAGGCAATAAAAAGAGGAAAAACAACATAACTATCCCAACTTACAACCCATGAATCCTGTTTCACATTTCCCCTCTACCAAGGGCCAATATCTTTTGTTAAACTGAGTCTTCAACCCTTTCATGAATGGCCGGCCATAGCCATAGCTTTTCAGCCTCCTATTTGATTATCGGCATGCATTGTAGTGATATAAAAAGGGGATCCAGAAGTATTCAACATAGCCCAACCAGTAGCTACTCACTCGATCCTAAATTGTACACTGGTTTAGAAATAAATGGCCTAGAACAATTTCATATTGTTCTCATTCTCCACCAAAGCAACATGTATAATAAGTCAGCTCACTACAAGAAAAATGGCCTAAGTCGGCGGTCTTTCTGACTGCCGCTATACTAATATCTAAGGCGGGGATCTTTCGCCTTTATTGAATTTAAGAACAGGCACGACGGTCTAAGAGAATAGACATGACGCTTTTAAAAATAAACCAGATTTCAACCGGTCTAACAAAAGGATGTGGGGAAGCCAAAAATACTTCTCTCACGCACTCTCCACTTCTTGTTCAACGAGACAAAAGGTCTCCTTGCAAAGAACCGGATAATAGTTTTTTTGACGAAGAAGAATATTGTATAGGGAGAACCACTGCTCACATAGAGATTGAGAAGGAAATCTAGGGTTACAAGTGTTATGCGACTCCAAATCCAACATCAACTTTGCTTGAGAAGGGTGAAGATTTCTTTCAATTTGGAGATATCCAAGTCAACATCGACCCTTATTCGTTCGAGTAGGAGAAGAGAAGGTAATGCCATATCCTTCTTGGTTTAACAATTATACTTTTAAAGCAGGAGGTCAAAGGGTATAAGGGAAGGGTTTTCGATGAAAAACCCTTAGGAGCCCAGAGCATCATTTTTCCCGCCTTCTTCTCTTCGATCAGAATCTGTTTGTGGCCATGGAAAACCCCAATGAGGAGAGTTTTTCCTTAACCTATGCCCTCCTTCCTCTTAATGTGCCCACCTATTCAGCTTAACAAACCCTCTGCTTCTGTTTTGTTGCCCTAAATTTGTTTCAGTGGAGTTTCTAGTAGAAAAAACCTTCTCCATCGACGCGCTTCATGTTCATATTGTTCTTCACTATTTTCTCTGATTTTAGAAGTGAATTATGGCTTCCCACGTAGGTTTTGTTCCTCCTCCTCCTGCACCCTCTAAGGGTAATGAGCCCAAGGCTGTGGAGAAAATTGATTAGTTGAATCTTCCTTGTCCCGTACTGTATGAAGAAATCAATCGAGAAGCTCTAAGTGAGTCTTTTTCTTAGTATTCTATTTTTTTATGGTTTCTCACTGCCTTTTTTTAATGGTTTTGTAGGTTCTAGTTCATTTCCCCCCTTTAAATAATCTATTTGATCTTTGAGTGCTTTCCTCTCTAGTGATTATGACATTATCTGCATTTACTTATTTCAATCATCTTTGTTTCAATTTAGTCTGATTTGAGATCAAATGGACGGTGAATAGGTGAAATGATGGAAAACATGAATCCATTACTCCAGGATGAAATAATGGAATTATGAATTCACAGCTTATTGTCAATGGAGTTTTTGTTTATGTTGTTTTTTTTTCTTGTACCTGCTCATATTTTGTGTATGAGATTTCTGACGGTATTGAAATTTTAGTGTTGTTTCTTGTGAACTTAATTTTTGACAATGTTATGAGCACTTTTGATATAATTATGATGTTTTGCAAATTAGTTGTAGATTGCAGATCCCCATTTAAAGGTACAAAAGCAAATATCACTTACATCGGAAATTAACGCCATCTCCTAAACATATTTCGTCATTCATTTTTTTTTTTTGTTAGAACTGTCTGGAATATCACACGAGAAAACTTAATTTGTGAAACTTAACTTAAGCTTTATGCTTTTTGCTTGATTTAATCTACTTAATGTGTGCTAACATATGCATATGCAAATACTTTTTTTTTTGGTGAACATATAGTCATATACGCATGCTTATGCACGTAAACATAGACACATAAACAAAAGTTTATGCCATGTGTAGGCCTAAACAATTTAGATGATAATTTCTGATGAGACATATAAATTGCAAACAACAATCAAATCATGAAAAAGTTCCTATTAGTTTCCCTTGTTTTGGGTGTTAGTGGGGAGCAAAAGTATTTAGCATGAACTGAAGAGTTTATTTAGGAGAATTTGTTTACAAAATGATGAATTGGGTTTCTTCTTTAGGTGGCAAATCATATTTTGGCCACATTGGGGAGAACACATTGCTATTCCAATATGTTTAGCAAAGAGACTGAGAAAGGACCTCTGCATTGCTTGGGAACAGATTTTTTGACTAATTCATAACAAATTTTTGTTCAACTTTGTATTTCTTTGTTTTAGTCATTTAGTACAATGATTATGAATCTACAGGTGTTTGGAGGTGATGATTCTGATACTGAATCCCCTAGAGACAATCACACTTCGGGAACAAGTTTGAAGCAACATGGAGATTCTCATAAGTCAATTAAAGATTCCAATAGTGAACATAACGAGCAGCAAGGAACATTGACAAATGGAAGTGAGAACCCAATGAATGAGATGGATGGTAGTAGCAATTTACCTGCCAATGAATCTCACCAATCAATGGGAGAGATTCTGTCTTCAATGGATCCGAGACTAGTTGTCCTGCACTTGGACCTGAATTATGTGCAGAGAAGCATGCAAGTAAACTAAATGGCTCCAGCTTCAATGTCAAGCGCTCGACTTTCTGGGGAAGGAACACTGTAAGATGTTCAACCCTGTTAACAGAGCAGTGGTAGTGCTGAAACCCAGAAGTTTAGGGGATCTTTGTTGCAAAACAAAGTTTGGATGGCTATGTGTCACCACCCCCTAAACCCTAAGTATAGGGTGGCAGTTTGTAATTTACCCTTTCTTTATTTTGATGGATAATACATGATGAGCACTTGGCCATCTGAATGTTGTCAGTATCTTGTCACACCATTGACACTGATCTCTGCAAACCCTAATCAACAATTGGCTTCCCTTTGTGGTTGCATTGTTGTTCTAACATTTTTACTTAGAATAGTTAGTGTAAATAAGAAGTTTCTTATACTTTCTAAGATATCAGTATTCTCAATTCCTACTTAAGTACTAGGATATGAGATGTTTCATTCTTAGAATCAAAGTTCTGACATATTGTTCTTAATCCTTTTATTTTTCTTACAGACCAGGAAGAACACATCCATGGAGTCGATTGACTCTTCTGGTGAAGAAGAGTATGTTATCCCACCTTTAACAACTTAACATCTTTCTATTTACAGCTAAGAAAATTCTTACCTCTGCAATAATTCTTACCTTGGCTTGAAAATGAATGGCAACTTCTTGCTTATTTGGCTAGAAAGTGGTAACCATTTCACAAAGTTTTGAAAGGTCCTTATCATGCATATGACAATGCATTGAAACTTGAAGTTTTTTGTTTACTGTCTTGTATTCTCTCATGCTCATGGAGTTGTATCACATGGTCATTCATTGAATTGTTTCTGACTAGACTCTTGGCTCTTAATATTAGATGTGACAGTACCGAGAAAATGGTCACACCCTACAGGAGTTATATGATGTACCAAGAAAAAAATGGTATTTTAAAAATTTAAAATCAATTCATATCCTTACATTTCCTATGAAACATTTTTTGTTTCAATGGGTTCTTATATGAACCATTACGCTTTCATTAAAACATTTTCTCTTTCTCTTGTTTTATTTCATATTTGAGCAAGCTTACACAGAAAGCTACAGATTGGGTTTATGGATGCACCTATTTTATCCATTTCTCTATTACCATCAATGATCTTTTTACATTTTGGAAATTTACTTTGTCTACAATTATAGGTACCAGGCCAATCATGATAGGATCCATTCCACACACATAAATGGGGTATGTGTGTGTGTTTGTCATGCATATCATTCTGACTGACGTGGCATATATTGATATATATCATGGTCAGATCCATTATYTGATTCCTGTACATATATAATTGGGAATGAAACCTTTGAGCCAAACAAGAAAATAGCACCTACATCACATCCCACATACGTTTTATTTTTATAATATATGAAATGAATTTCTGAATTTTTTTGAGAAATTCAGAGAAATTCATGTATCCACTGCACCTACACCTACACCACATCCCCCAAGAGAATAGCACTGAGAAATTCAGAGAAATTCATGTATCCACTGCACCTACACCTACACCACATCCCCCAAGAGAATAGCACCTTTCAGTACCATGTATCCATTGCTTAATCATTCTGAATTTCTCTGAGAATTAGAAGAAAAAAACTAATTATGTATGTGTGGGGACTAATGCCATATGACAACAGCCTCGGCCATCACTCAAGTGTGTAGTGGTATTAGTGTCTCTTCATACAATAGGTGAACTGATTAGTTGCAGCAGTAAAGCGACTTCAAATGCTCTGCCACCATGTTCTCTAGAGATTGGTCAATTACCCATCCAGGCCATCTCTGCTTCCAAAAGGATTATGGTGAAATAAAATGTTAATGTTAACATCTGAGCAAGGTACCTTGGATGTTAAGATTTCTGGTAAGGGAAACAAGGAAAGTGGCTGCAAGTGTATTGCATTCCTCTCCAATTCCTTGGTGGAGCCCAGGATCAACAAATGCTTTGGCTAAGGCTGGAGTAAATAGGGGCAATATGAATGTGGTAATCTAGGGCTAGATGGGACAATGTGATAACCAATTTGAGTCTTCCAATTTTCTTTTACTGTCTCATTCTAGTGTATTGCATTCTTCTCCAATTCCTTTAAATCTTATACATATCTGAATTCCATAATCCAAAACCACAACACATTTTTTTTTGTAGTTTGCTAAATTCCATAATCTTATGATGGTGACTTACCCAGAGGGAAAATATCTCTATTTTATTTGAGCATAAAACTTAACTTTATCATTCTCAAGGCTTTGTAGCAGAGGTTGTGGAACTAGGAAATTTAAATTATTCATTTGAAACATGAATCTCCAATCGATCTTTAATCTTGAAAAATACTTTGATGATAATTATATTTAAGGAACTATCATACAATCTGTCTTCATGCAAGAACTGTACTCAAAATTGAAGATTCTGAGAGAGATAAGGCATAATCAATTTGTTTGGTTGGGCTTGATAAAATATCCATCTATTGCCTTTTAAGTTTATGCAATATTGTATTTCATTTAGGCTGCATTTGGATTTGGGAGTAGATTTGAAATTAGGCTACACCTCTATTCTTGGAAAGAATTTGAATTCTGGTAAAATATAGAATTTACAAGGTTTTTCTTCCATATGCTTCCAAATTCCACATTGCTGAAAAAGCAGAATTTTAAATCCACCTTCATCTAATAATCATTACCCTAGTGAGTTGGGCTCTCTAAAGTGCATATAATAAATCAAAGATGTATTGGCATGACAAATAAGCATGTGTATATATATATGGCTCAGTTTAGAGTGCAAAGCCTTATATTTTACATGTGGTTTGAACTACTATTGATATTCCAATTAATTGCTTAGAATTCAGCCCATGTAAATTTTAGTTACTAATCCTATCTTTATAGTTAAAATATTTGAACATAATTCTAATATTTATATGTTTTGATTTGCAGGTTCAACCAATATGTTAAGTGGATTTGCATTGGAAGATGTACTGCATTATTAGAGAATTTGATTATTTTTTTAAGTTCTTGTACTATTTATATGTCAATTGGATATGAACAATGTCTTTTGGATATTTTAATATATAATCTTTGAATTAATAGATCTCATTTTAAATTGATTTTTATCAAATGGTTTTGTTGTATTAAACAGGTATGAAAATGCTAAATCAATAAACAATAAACAATTCATGTACCACAAAAATCCTGCAATTAAGTGGGTATATGATTTTTTTTCGAAAAAAATAGGTTTATGCCGACGGTCATGTCCGTCGGCTTAGCTATCAACCTGGTATAAATAAAAATGAAAAAAAAAAATCGACGTTAGCGGTCATGCAATCGCCGGTTTAGCTGCAAACACACCTAAGCTGGCAGTCATTTAACACCGCCGGCGGTTCAGACCGCCACCTAAGAACGCGAGGGAGTTTGATAGAAAGCTAAGGTACGGTCTTTTAGGACCTAAGCCGGCGGTCATAACCGCCGCCTTATTAAAGCTAACCCGGCGGCTCCAATAGACCACCGCTTTAGAGCAACTTGAACCGCCTTTGCCCAGCCATCAAAGGCGGCGGTCATTTTAGCCTAAGCCGGCGGTCCTAATCTAAGGCGGCAACTTCTTAGAAGGAGGACGCATGACTGCCACCTTAGACCTAAGCCGGCGGTCATAGGACCATCGGCTTTGACCTTTTTTCTTGTAGTGGCTTCCAATTTCATGGCACTGAAGTGAAAGGATTGCTTCCACTAAGCTGAGTTTTCCTCTTTATATTCCCACTAATATATTTCCCAAAATCAGTAAAACCAGTAGAAATTTGAAGTTTATAAATTATAGGTCCTGCAATGACAATTATACATGCTAAAAGAAGTTCATACATGCTTTACAAAAGGTATAAAAAAACTTACATATGCTGCTTATAACCATCCACCATTAGAAATGTAATGCAGTTTGAGTTTATATGTACATATCTTCAATGATGGTCTAGTAATGTCAAATGAGACCAATGACTACATCAGTGATACAGAGTGATCTTATGCAAGTTGAAGCCTTTAAGACTCTAAAAGGACAAAGAGGCTAAAGGGGCATCTGGTGCAGCCGTGCACACAAGTAAAAGCATTCTGGTGGTAAGAGTAGAGTGGGCAAAAGTTATGGTATTAAAGGGGGAAGAACCAAAGGAACAAGATCCACTTATGCTGCATTTGGTCATTCCTTATTTTAAGGACTCGTCTCCCTGTTAGTAAAATGCCCCTATGAACACTGAGTTTTTAATTTAAAAAATGAGATAAGTCCTTAAAATAAGGAATGCCAAATGCAGCCTTAGCCTGCTCTGTAGTTGGGGTTAGGTCAATGATAATGACTATTCATGTAATTATGTAAATGGACAAATTTACCTGCATCATTATGCCTTTTTTTTTTTTTTTATCAGCAACAACCAAAAGATTGATTTATTAAGTATAGCAAGAAATAATGCATATGTTTAAATGTATACAGGATGTGTCTTGAGACAACCCTTTTATGTACGCTAGGCCCCATCCTGCCTACCTCTTACAAATTTCTTCCTTCTAGGATACAAATTCCCTATACATTTGGTCCCTACTTTTGCACCCTACCTAGCTAGTGCATTTGCTAAGCCATTTCTCTGCATCATTTGGTCCCTACATGCCCAGGGGGGATTTCTATAATATTTCGACCATAATTTCTTTCCCATTCATTTTTTTTTTCTTAATTTCACCCAGGAATGAATTCCTCATAAGAAAAGTTAGTATGTTGTATTCTGAAGAACTTGGTAAAATGGGATTTTGTGGCCATCTATTGTCCTTGTTGAAGAACTTGAGACCAGTTGTGTAGTCATACTTTTATGTAATCTTTTGATTTAGACAATAAACATTCGGAGAAACAAATAAGAAGCACACTAGCAATAAAAGCTTCTGTTTCAGTTAAGCTGAGCCTACCAGAGTTGAGAACTCCACTGGTGCTTTGACAGCTGGATAAATGCTAACCTGCACACCGTACATAAAATTTGGAATAGTAATAAAAACCATGAAGATTTAGAAGTATCGACGGCCTTTTGCACATCCAGGCAAACCAAAAACTAAACCATACAAGTCAGCAAGGAATCCTATCATCCAAATATAAAAAAGGCCAAAGTACTCAATAAGGGCCAGAAGTGCAGTTGAACGAAAGAGACTGTTCAAAGAATCATGATATAATTCACCTCACCCCACCTAGGTCACCAACAGGTTTTAAGGTTTTGTGGGTTTAGAGTTGAACAAACCCAGCTGTTCCTCCAGGTGACAGGTTTAACATTCTGACCGTCTTGGTCAATAATGGTTTAAAAGCATTGGTTTTCAGCAATATTTTGTAAACAAAGCAAGTTACATAAATGATCAAAGGTGACATAACAAAGTTTAACCAATTGAAATGGAGTTTGAGAAAACTATAACAATCAAAAATTACTTGGCTTACTGTTTTTGGATCAATTGTCATTCCTGAAAGTGTTGCCCCCACAATCCTAAAGGACACCTGTAAATCATGAAGTAACAATCATCCCAGGGCATTAGATGATTGTAAAGCCAAAACTTTCTTGTGTTCATGATTGGATTAACTGTTAATTTAATATAATGTGTTCAATTAAATGCTGCTGCAATTTTACAGGTTCAATATATGTGCCCCAAGTGAATTATCAACACAAAATAGGCAAAAATACTGATAATAATACCACTTATGAGCTTAACATGTGCTCACTCCAATATGTTAATTTACGAAATACTTGTCAGTTTCTCACTAATACAATTGACAAAGCAACAGAGTGTGATAGTTGTCATAAAATGAATATATGGTTCGCTGATAAAAAAAAAATAATATATGGCCCCGATTTGGTCTTCCCTAAAACCTCTGAAAATAGTAACATTCAACTGATCGTATGAGGCCATTGATCATAATAACTCTTGCCAATGCAAACCAGGGACTACCTAAGTTCCAATTCCTGTATAGCATGCCTCCAGTGCTTTTGAAGCAAGAGAAAAGAAGGCATTGTCTTATGAAAATATGACCAATAGATTATTCTTTTGCATAATTAATAAAATGGAGACTATACCAATAGGGATATTGACCCTGCTACATCACTGAGTTGGGTTCTTTCCCTCAGTTTTCACCTACCTACCTTAAATGAAAAAACTAGAAGTTCATAAACCAAGATGAATGAAAATGGGGGGAATAATGAATAATGTATCACCAATTTACCAGATGACTAAGAAAATAAAAATAACAACATGAGTTTATGTTGTCCGGTTAAGAGTTAGAAGAAAGAGGAGAGAGGAGGAAGAACTGAATGGTCTAGAAGATTTCTTAGCTAGATGGGGTGCAAATGGTCTAGAAGTTGGGAGCATCTTTTTTCTGGACTCATTGATCAGCAAATGGTCTAGAAGATTTCTTAGCTAGATGGGGTGAAAATTACAATCAATTGTAATTGGGGGATCATAAACCAGGATGTAAGATTGAAAGATATAACTGAAATAGAAGCATGGGAAGGGATAAACAGACCTAGACATGATGGGGTGTCCTGCACAACCACTCTGTAATATATTATTCTTTTTCAAATCAATAAATAAAATTAAAAAACACAAAAAAATGGCCAAAAACCGTTGTCCAGGTCGACGGTTCGACCACCCAGGTCAGCAGTTTGCTGACCAAATCACAGGGATAAACAAATAATACATACCTTTGCATAATTGTATGCCTGCCAGCAGAATGGTTCTTCTAAATCAACTGATGGAAGATCCTTGTTCATCTTTTTCATCAAGTATTCATCTACGTTTACCATATTATTAGAATTCTCAGGTTCAATATCACTATCATCTTCAGATGTATGTCCTTGAGTTGACCTAAGCATAGAGGGCAATCTTTGAGTTGACCTTGGTGCAAACTTGATTGTTCCAGGAAAAGTTGCCTCAATACTTTTTCCAGAAACACCTCTTCCACTTGCAACAATTTTCCATTCAAT